GTAAAATAAATTGTTGCACTGAGAAAAACAGTTATAATTTGAGATCTGCAGACCGTTTGGTTCCATTAATTATTTTGAAGGTAATTTAAAAGATGACTTAAAGTGAATAAGAAAATCAAGTTAATATATGTTGCATAGTCTTTGTCAAGCCCTGAAGATAGAGCAGATGTTTTTTCTTCACTGATTATTTTGGTACTATCATAAATCTACTGAGAATTCTATTAAGAACAGTTAATTCTACTATTTTATAAATGACTGCTTTGTCATGATGAAATCTGTCTTATTCATGTCGCTTGTAGGAAGGATTTAATTTGGCAATGTGTCAAAGCACAGTCTGTTTCCTAAATACATGTTATTTCTCTTCAGCTGGTTATTTTCTCTCTTATTACTCCCACTGCCTCCTCAGTTCTCCCTTCTCTGCCTTCCTCTGTTGTTCTTTATGTGGCATTAATTCCAATTTTGGCCTTGCACTTTTATTAACCTGAAATACCATACACAACCATGTGTATTTGCTGTCAGTATCTTAGAGGGAAACAAATTGTTCAGCAGCATGAATTTTTAGATGAAGTTGGTTTTCAGTAGTGGGCTTGCAGCCTAACATGCAAGCTGGTCTGTTTGTCCTGTTTTCCTTTGTTACTGTGAGGTGTGAAGGAACAGAGGCTTTTGGAAAGTCATGGCTTCCTTCAGTGGCAAATTTGCTTGGACAGTTATTTAATGCACATTTGAATGATCTTAGATTGTTGAAGATATGTCAGGGGCAACTATTAGTATGTATTCATTTTTGGAAAGGGGAATTTTCCTTGGCAATTTAGAGCTTCAGGATAGAATTGTGTTAACTATCTGAGACTTAAAGCTATGGAGTGTAAAAAAAAAATAAAAATGGAGTGTTACCAGGAAGAGTTTTGTGTAGTTCCAGTGAGAATGCTGAGCAAACTCTTTAATGCCATGAAGTGAGTTGTGGCTCAAGTAAAATTATTAATTTGGGGGGGAGACATGACTTTTTTTCATTTTGGAAATCCTTTAGCCACCATAGAAGAGGTATTTTGGTAGCAGAGCAACTGTTAGTACTTTGTACCTTCCCTAAGCATAGGAGGCAATGCTAGGCAACAGACTCTTTGTGGTAAATGTAAGAAACTTTATTTTCTTCGGCAAATCCATCTTTCTGCTAGAACTGGTGAAGTACACTTTCAGTCTTCATAGTTATATTATAAAAATGTAATTTGAACTCAGGTTATTTTTGTTCATTATTAAACAAGATATATTGTTCAGCTGTTAAACTCAATACGTAAGAATTCTAGTCCATTATTCAATTGGGAAGTATCCATGAGAACTGCATTTCTGAGACCAAATAATAGAAACTTAATCAGGTTTAGAAGTGCACTTTAAAAAAAACCCAACAACAACAAAACAAGTGGCAGCAGAGGAAATGCCTCAAAAGAAGGACAATGTCTGGAAAATAAAGCTTTTTGAGAGACTGAGCAAGGAATGCAGAGGTGATGTGTCGGTGGCTCCAGAGTTTGTGTGGGAAAGATTTCTGGTGGCCAATAGCTTTTTAATCTAATTTGATAAAAATTCTATGTCAGGAAGGTGGAGGTTGAGGATCAGATAACGAATAAAATGCAGAACACTTACTAGTGAGGATAATTCCCCTCTAAAAGGGTTATGATTTGCCTCAGGATCTGCATCATTTTGAGCCTGTCAGCGCTACTGCCTGGAAGTTCTGTTTCAGTTGCACTATATTTTTAGAAAGTTATTTGAAGCTTTTTGTGATTGGGATTGTGGGAGGATAGACCAGATGTTCTTAATATTCTTTTTTTGAGCCATAAAACCTTTTTCTTCCCCAGAAAACCCTGCTTTGCTTTTGTGTGTTCAAAGCTAGCTACATCCCACAAATTAGTGGCATTTCTTCAAGCTTTACCAACACCATGTTCCTCTCTAAGCCCATTAAGTAGTGGAGCATAATTTAGTGAAGCTCACCGAAGGTGCCATCTTTCACATATGTTGGGCAGCAACAGTTACGTTGTCTTGAATATAAATCAGGTTAAAAGAACTGTAAAGCTGGTGAGTCAGTCTCTCAAATGTTAAGAAACAGCAAAATGTCCCCAGAAGAACAGAGCAACCACTCCTTGCCATACACTTGCCTCAGGCCTTTGCTTCAGAGGTCAAAAATGTATAGTTTCTTAGCAAATCAATGGTAAGAATTTTGATGTAGGCTGGAGTATTTCTTCTAACTTCTGGTTTGGAAGCAACTGAGCTATTATAGCTGCAAAGGTTGGGGGGGGGGGACAAAGGAAACAAGAAATTAGGCAAACCTTAACCTTTTTTTCTAGCATTCCAAACTGACTTACTACAACACTAGGAATCCCCAGAGCTACAAACGTATGTGAAAACAAGTAATGTTGGGCAACTCTGAGTGTAGGTAGTGCCACCAGCTCTGTGAGTAGTTGTCTGTTGCTTATATGGAAAAGAGCTATGATTCTTTGCTTTTGTAACTAAGGTGATTCTAATTGTTGGGCATCAAGAAGCCTGGCCAAGCTTGTTTCATATTTGGCTTGAATGCCTCTACTGACATGGGGACTCCTCAGTTGTCAGCTACCACAAATATTTACAATATGGTGGCTTCCATTTGTAAATTACTTTATTTCCAAATTAGTATAAACCTTATAGATTTACTAAGATTATTTGATTGTAAATGCTGAAATACCTGCATTGGAGAAACCATCTATTAGTTTGGGGTTTTTTTAGTCATTGCTTGTAATGTCTTTGTGAGATTCTCTTGACCCGATTCCTATTAAAATACATAGGGATATTGTACTGCTTTAATAAATTGACTTGAATTGGTTACAGGTGTCCTTTATTGGCAAGACCATGGTTGGTTTGGGGTTGGATTATTTTTTTTTTTTTCTTTTTTTTAAGTGCTGATGTGGTAAGGGACTTTGTGGTCCAGGAAATTTGTCGTATCCAATAAATCAATGTTCTTACTTGTTTTTGGTTCTTTCAGTTGCTGAGCATTCCTACAGGGGCATACCAGATAGTTTGTAAAAGAAATGGAGGCATTCAGAAGAATTAGTGAATTAAGTAGGTCTGTGTTGTCTTTTTTTTGAAACAAAGATTAATTACTGGGGAGGGAGGAGGGGATGTGTTATCTGTGGACTATATATACTCAGCTTGTTTTCCTTTGCCTGAGACTGCTGCCTAAGCTTTTCTTGTTCTGCCTGACAATACTTCTTTCACTTGATTTTTTCCAATTCATTGTTTGTGTTGTGATTTGGCCAGTGCAAACTGCCTGTGGGTGGGTATTGTATCCTGTTGCTTGCTTAGCATAGTCCAGATTGCAAGGTTTAGATACCTGGCTTCTGTTGAAATAATAGGGAAATTATTATCTCTTGATAGTCTCTCAGGCATATCCATGGTGGTAATGTGGAAAAGCTGTGTATTAAAGCATACACACTTGCTTGTACTTCTATTGCCTGCTCAGGTTTCATACCCAAGCAGGAAAAATAATATGGGTTTGTTTGCCTTGTCAATTATTCTATTTTATCTTCAATCAGGAATAATATGCCTGAATGTTTGCTGTGCTTGATGTGTGTCTGAGGGCCTGAAGGTATTTTTCTGCCTGACTTGTATTTACCTTTGTGGAAGTGCTTTATTGAGACTGAGACCCTTTGTTCATGGGAGGTTATGGAAGGCAAAATCAGAAGAACTTGTTTCAACCCTGTGTTGCAGTGATTTAAATATCAAAGAACAAGTATGCCACAAACACTAGTTTATTGAGCTAGAGGACTGTGCTGTTGCTTTGATAGAAATGGTAAAGATTTACTTAGAATTTACTTGATGCTTTTTTTTCTGATGAATGGAGAGCAAGGAATTTTACAAAACTTAAAGGTTCACACTTAAAATAACTAGCCTTTTTCTTCAGACTCTCTTGTTTCACATCTTCCCTTTTCCTTCCATGTAAACCTTTCCTTTGGGTACACTCAGCTAGTTGCTGTTTAATCAGAACATAATCTGTAGTAATTATTTTTCAGAGCAAATGTTCATTTAATATCTGTGAAACCTGGGTGTTTTTTTATTTTCCATTGAACATGGTCAAGCAGTAAACAAGAATTCCTCAACTTGAGTGAAGAGAACTTAAAAGTTGACCTGCTTTGCTTTGGAGACAGAAATACTTTATACTGTATTAAATAAGAGTAAACAGTAAGATGGATTGAAACAGTTTTAGATTGATTACGAGTCTGCTGCTATTAAAATACTGTTACTTGAATTTCAATATGTACAAATAATATAACTTGGTAGCTTTACACCATGTTATTTAATTTAGAAATGTTACATTTATCATTGCTCAAAATTTAACTTCTAGTATGTAAACTAATTAATTAACAAAATCTTATTTACTTATGAAAGTAATTTTCTGTATACAGAAGACAGTGTTAAAACTGTAAAGCTTAATGCTTTACTGCAGCTGTGAAAGGAGAGAAGATTCCATATATTGTCTAGACAGAAATGCTCTCAGGACTTTTTTTTAGAACAATAACACTTGTGAGTTGTATGTTGGTTTTTTTTTTTTTTCCTATCTTAAAGCTATTTTTATGTCTGACTGCCAAGAATCTATTGATGATAATTACCCTGTCATCAGTAGTCATTTTTAAACTTAAATGTCTGTAGAGGCAGACTTGATATGACACAGCAAATAACTACATATGGAGTCTGTGTGCAGGTAGTGATTTCAGCCAGATAAACTTGCTGCTTCTGACAGAGCTTCCCAACAGATGTATCTAAAATCTGATAGACAAAATTTAATTAATCAGCTACATTGACTTGCTGGAAATGTTTTCTAGCTCCTGTTAGCATAGGAAATACTGTGTTTGCAGGGGTTAATAGATGGAATCTGATGCAACCCCTCCCACTTTTCCCAGCAGTTTTCATTAGACGAGTGCTCCATAGCAACAGTGAGATCACTGGAGACAGTATTTCATTGATTTCTCCCTCCCGCCCTCTTCCATTTTTGAGCCATTCTTATCACTGAAGTGCAGTTGGGTGAAAAGACAGGGTTTTTTTATGCAGAACACTTCTGTGGGCTTCTGTCTTGTAAATAATTTGGAAAGCAGAAATCCTTCATATTTTTTATGTTTAATGTTTCACTATGTATTTAAAGAGAGATACAGGCTTAGGGGGCTGGATAACTGTACCTGCTGTAGCTGATGTTCTTAAGTATTCTTGCATTGTTTGCTGGTCTTCTAGGGAAAAGAATAATGTAGAGCAAGACCTGAAGGAGAAAGAAGATACCATCAAGCAGAGGACAAGTGAGGTCCAGGTAAATAAGACACACAATTATTCGTCAGACACCTGATACTGCACCATGTGGTGCTTTAATGGCAGTGGGATTACTGAACCTTTAGACCACATCATTTATTCAGTGATGTGATCATCACTACAAAAAGAAAAAAAAATTGGTGGCTAAGAAAATTAATGTATTTAAAAATGTATTTTCTATATGAATGTGGGTTGGTGTAGGTGTGCATCTTGATATATGAATGTGTGAGCTGGTAGGATATGTAGCCTGCATGGAGTTTTAAATGAAAAATATTACAAAAGAATACATTTGTTTTTCTTTTTTCTTTTTATTTTTTTTCTTTTACAAGGCTGTCTAATGTATAGTTAAAACTAAGGAAGACACTGTAGCACTGCCAATTAATAAACCTAAGTGGCTGAATTAAAAGGGTTTATCTGCAGGGCTGCTTCTTAAGAGTCGCAGTAATTACCAGCTTGGGAGGAATGTTGCCTCAAGTTAATTTTGCCTAACATAAGTGAATTTAAAAAATAATCTGTTTGATTTTTATTTAAAAGGATGACTTTGAATTTCCAGAATATTGAAAAAATTAGCAAGTGTTTTACAGAGATTAAAAATTACACAGTCAGCATCAGTGTTTAGAGTGCTAACAGCTAGTCAAGCCCTGAATTAAATGCAGCAAAACAGTATTTCAATTAAACTTTAAGCTGCAAAAGCAGCTGTAGTTGCTGTTTTAAGAAAAATCTTCAGTGTGGTACCTGGTCACTTAGGTTTATTTTAGGGTCTTTATTATTTTAAATAATCTTTATTTGACTAAGAGCAAATAATGCAAAATTTTGGCATTTTACTTGGGCAGAAAAAGAGTCAATGTGTTAAAACTGTTGAGAATTTTGTGCTTGGCTATTTAATATCCTTAAAGCTTCGATGACAATTAATAGTCTGACCTTTCAGAAAATAATCAGATGCTGGCCTGTTAGTCACAATGGCAGCCAGATTTGGCAGCTGCCGGAAAGGACAGA